AATCATTTGTCTTCAGAAGTGTGAAGTATTCTGGTTTCTGGTTATGTCTTATGTCATACTGTTACCGGCTTCCTGGTCACTATGGAGACTACAAAATAGATAGGCCTACGTGTGTAATGCAGAAAGCAGAGCAAAAAATTTGCTTTCGTGTCTTCTTTACACATTCTAAAAGAGCAAAGTATGGGCAAAATTCCAGCTTTGAGAAAAGAACCTGCTAGGTTGCTTTTAGGATCACAGGCTTCTTAAAATCAGACAATATCAATGCTTGCTTTAAAGACACAAGTATTTCATTCCAGGTGTTTTTGGCTGCGAAACCAGAAGCTTGATTCTCATAATAATTTTTCTTTTGCTGCAGATGCAGCTTCCTTGCGTACCATATGGTGATAATTAGCAGTTTCAGACTTAGTTCTGAGTTTTCTTCTGCTTCGATTATTGGTTAGTTTGGGACAAAATTTTAATGTCACAGAAACAGAGTTTTCTGTCTGAGTTTAATTGCGGGCAGGAATAACGTGCATCTCTAGATGAGGAAGGAGAAGAGGAGGTCTGTTTAGAGCTCTAAGAGGTATTTTGGAAAGATTGTCAAGTACAACCTGTTTCTTTTCATGAATTGTTTCACTGTCCCTAAATAGGCCACAGTTGGACCCTGGAAAAGGAGAGAGACAATTTGAAAGATACAGTTGGAACGAATAGTTTCTTGTAACAGCAAAATGTTTGCGCTTTTTATGAGAGCAAGGGTAACATTGTGTAATCTTTAAAAAAGATATTGCTCAGTGAGGATAAGTCCATTGTCCAGTGACATGACTTTTCCTGTCAATCACAAAGGTGACAAGGGGGCTAGATTAAGTAAAGCTTGCCCAAGATTAACAAAGGAAGATTATTGACCTCATCCTGAAAGGGCAGAAGCCTGTTTTATCATTAAACCTTGGAAGAGGTATTTCCTCCATAGGTGGAAAGCCGTTTGGCAATAGAGAGGCAACTTTCTTGTAAATGAAGGGGTCTTCCTGTGGATTCTGGCTTGGAACAGAAGCAGAAGACGCTCCACGCTGGCCAGTCCTCCTTTTTGTTGCTGTTGTTGAGGGGGGAAGAAGGGTCTAAGGGTGTTTGGTTCGGCAGGATCCGTGCAGGTTCTCCTCTGCCTTTCCGAGGTGGGAAAAGCAAGAAGCGGCAGCATCAGGTGTTGGTGAGTACGATCCCAGCTCAGGGTCGGGTGAGATGTTGTGCCAGCACCCGTTTAGCAGAGGAATTCCCGACGCAGATGAAGAGTAGAGCCCCGTCCATGAAGCAGCTGCATAACGCCCTGACTGGGATTAGCCCTGCCAGAGGCTGGAGTGTAATCAAACTGGAACAGGTGAAATGGTTACACAGCCCAGAGAGACTCTTCTCTGCTAAAAGAGTGTCTGTTTTTCCACTGTTTTGGTGACTGAGAGATGGGTCGTGCATGTGGCTTGATGGACTTCATTTTAAAATGTCAGGAGTCGATACTTGGGTTCTTTAATACCACGCTTCACAGTGTTGTTGCTTTTCTCTCTGTTATCCGAATGAGTTGTATGAGTTTGTCCTTTCCAAAAAGGAACCTGCTAAATCTCAGGACTTGGGAGGGAACTTCCTTCTCAGGGGATTAATTTCAAACAGTTGATGACATATCTTTCTGGCCATTAAGGATTTCTCTGAGTGTGAAATTCTCATATGTAGTATCAGAGGATTTTCTTTGCTAAAAGATTTTTAGCTTTATACAGCTGTTGACATGGGCAGGTTTTATGTGGAAGTATCCTTTCTTTTTCCATGGTAGAAGTAAAAATCCAGAACCATTGAAAGTTCCTTTTCACTTTCCCCAGTGACGGCCTAAGAAAGAGCAAAATAAAACACAGGGACATAAGGCAAAAGCCAAGGTACCAGTTGAGCGTTTCAGGTTGTTCTGAAGGACAGAATAAAAAGATCCTGGGTGAGTAGGAGAGGCAGGTGCTGGAGCTGGTGTGCGAGAGGAGGTGTGTTGAGCTCCCAGCAGCTGATGCCTGTGCTCATCCATCCGCTGCCGCGGGAAGGAGAGGATTCCTCTTAGGCTGCAAATCACGCCGTGAATGTGTGATTGCTACAGATCTTTTTGAATGAATAATTCACTGGTGTACTGTAATTTAGCCCACTGAGATGTGATTGCAGCTGTTCCCCCTACTGTATATGTGTTTTGATTAAGCGGAGCGCGTCTTAAACCTCACAAGTGTATAAATAGCCCACGTATGTTATATGCAAACACTGCATACGTGCACACATAACAGGAGCGGCCTAAGGAAACATTTTGTTTGGGGAGTGATTACTTAGATGTTTATTTTTAAAATATCTGTGTAGAATACTTCCCTTTCCTTTTTTTGTTGAGCCGTGAAGTCTTCTTGACTATGGTACGGTATAAATGCTTTCAGCCAACATTGTAGGATCAGGGTGTCTCTGTGTTCCAAGACCTTTCCAATATAAGAAGTTACTTCTTTTGTGCCTGTTTTACAGGTAGGAAACTGAATTTGCAGAAACAAAAGTGACTTTTTCTGAGGACCCAGAGTCCTTTGATGATGCTGTACCCACAAACTTCGCTCTTGTCCTCTCCCCCTCACACTTCCTTTCCCCAGAAAAAGGGGCAGGGAAATGTTAGTAGTTTTGAAAATACTTGTGGGTGTTCCATTTGAATGCCAAACAATTTGTAATTTAGAAAATCACTTTTTATTACCTTACATATCATTCAGTCTTGTGTTCTTAGGCTTCTTTTCTTATAACAAACTTGTAGGCTCAGAAGATATTTTTACATACAAAACCACTTGCCTGTACCAAAAATGTCCATGGAAGCAGCAGTGATGATTCCTGAGGTTTTGGCAGCTGTTGCAAGTACTTTGTATCTGTAACAATGTGTGACTTAGACAGAAACATGAGTTTCTTCGTGGCCCACTTCGGGATAAAATGAAGAAACTAGTTTCTCGTAAAATTGGAATTATACTGTTCCTATACATAATTGATAGAATAGGTGGATTTCAGAACTGTAACTAAGGATAGTATTTGGCTTATCTGTCTTTAAAGCGTGAATAAGAAAGCAGCTTTCAAGATATTTCCTCTTTCGGCCTTATCTATAAGAAAAAAATTCCCCCTTGATGATAATAAGTTTGAATGTTAGCTAAAATCTGAACTGATGCTGAAGTTAACTATTTTGCTCAGCTAGATCGGTGTTAAAACCCAATTTATTCAGGTCTGTATACGTGGGAAAAAAATTACAGTTGGCTCCAAATAATTTTTGAAGTCCAGTGTTAACAACTAGTAATTTCCCAAGTGCAGAACAAAAATGGAGAGAGTTGCAAGATAAAAAAACAGAAGCATTTCTGTTGACTAGAGTCAGAAAATTTTTTAGGGCTTGGTCAAAAGCTCATTGACGTCAGTAGAAAGTCTCTCATTAACATCACTGGGTTTGGCTTTTGGGGCATATGATGGCCCAGATTGTAATCTCAGTTAAATCCGATTCTGTTAGGGAATTTATTCACTAGTATAACACGTTCAAGCTGCTCAGAACTGTTTGCACTAAAAGTTTTTTTAACCAAAGGTAATCTTTTTGCCAGTATGAAGTAGTCCGTGAAAATAAATCCATTCTTTACTTCCTTTCTCCCATGTTACTTTACTCAAAGTTCATGGAGGTAATTTTTAGCAATTTATGTTCTATTTATGAAAAGACAGGGGTTTTGCTGAAATATTGGGGTTTGTTAAACCAGAGACACCAAAAAGTACTCAGAAAAAAAAAAAAGATAAAATTGTAATGCAAATCACTAAAAACCATATATGTGTCACTTTCATACACTGTGAAATGAAAACAATTTAAACATTATTAAGACTCTTTCAACCAAGTCCGTAACTGAGGTCACAAGATGGTCTAATGGCTTTTTTAGAAATAATATTCATTAAACATCTGGAATACAAAAATGTAAGGAAATAGGATAATGAAAAAGAACAAAAAAACCTCTGGAGAATCTCATCAAAATAAAAACTGTTCCTGGTTGCAGCATTATATTATGCAGTGTATGTACTCTGCAGCAAGCTTTGTTCAGAGACATTGACCTACGTTTTGGAAGGTGTAGATGGCATATGTTAGCAGAGGGGAAAAGAGGGTTTCAGAGATGTGTACAGAAGGGTAGGGCATAAAAGAGACATAGAAGGGAAAAGGAATTGCAGAGAACATTGCTCTGTGTTGGAGAAGGTGTGGAGGAGAAGGCTCTCATGTTAATGAAGGCAAGTTTGAAGATGCTGGAGCCAGCTATGGTTTCCATTAAAATTAATGAATAGACCTCTGTGGACTCTCAGGTGAGGAGGATTGTGTGTATGTTCCAGGTCACAGAGTTTTGCCATTTTGCCTGTAGTGAAAGTCGTTAGGACCACCTGTGTGAAAGATACTGTCTCTACGAGAAATGAAGGTATGAGATAGAAGGGGAAAATAGAAGGAGAATTAGAAAACAATTGCTTCATCCCATATAGATGGGAGAACTACTTGAACTGTGAGTTAAAATAAGTCATATGGTGAAGGGTATTTAATACTTGGTTACTATTTCATTTCTTAAAACAACTAGCCATCAAGGCATTAAGTAGTTTATAAAGTCAGGAAATTAATGGTCCTTGTAAAAATTGAAGATTTTTTTCGAAAGCAAGCTGTAAAAGAACAAACAATTAAAGGTAATCAATACCATTGTTATTAGGAAACCTATGAGTACAACACTTCTTCTCAATTAGGGAAAAACTGTATTTTATGTTTCTCTCCTGCAAGCAGATTTTTGTTCACTTCAGCCTGTAATCTTGGTTTATGCTTTATGGATAGGCTTTGTTCTGGGTGTTTTTGAAGCATTGCATGCCTTTTTAAAGGTTTCAACAGAAGAACAAACAGCAATGAACTCAAAGAACAAAGGATTGTTCTTTCTTTCCATCTTTATTTTTTTCTTCTTTAAGAAAAGAAAGAAATGTTTCATCTCATTTTTCTCCCCTTTCAGGAAGTTGATGGCAATAAAGTGATGTCTTCATTTGCCCCGCACAACTCATCTACCTCACCCTTGAAGGCAGAAGAAGGTGGGCGTCAGAGTGGAGAGTCATTGTCCAGCACAGCCCTGGGAACCCCCGAAAGGCGCAAAGGGAGCCTAGCGGATGTTGTGGACACCCTGAAGCAAAGAAAAATGGAAGAGCTCATAAAAAACGAGCCAGAAGGTAAGGCCTGGGAGACTGGCCAAAATTGTCTGTTTTGTTTTCTTTTCTTTTCTTTTCTTTTCTCCAGATTCTTTGGAGACGTATACTTTATACTTTTTAATCTTCCCATTTTCTGCTCCATTCGCTTTTTCTTGCTAGCAAAATTGAAGTAAAGAACTTAATAGTTCTTGTCTACATTAGAGATAAATTTCAGCAGTATCCCATCATAGGTAATGTTTTTAGCTTTTCCCAAACGAGAGCCTTTGTCTGTCTTTTTGTCACAGTTGCGATAGACACGGCGACCTCCTCAACATGGGGCACAATGGACACTGTAATTCTAACAGCCTGGGGGTCATTTACACCACTACTCCCCCGCCCCCCATTTCGAGAGCAAAAAGCAGTGTTAGCAGCAATGTCAATTTTTTGGTGAAATTATCTAGTAGACATGTCATTATTTGAAAGGTAAGGAGTTAAGTTTGGAATTCATGAAGGCTTTTGTTCAGAGCATGTCCTGTCGTGTCGTCCTCTATTTATCTGTAGTGCAGGTGCTATACAGACACCATACAGGCTTCTTTCTCTACATTATGTCTGGCCAGCAAGTTTCAACCTTGGTGTATAGGTGTCATCTCTGGAGAATTTTTGAAACTGGGTGTCCAGTCAGAGACTGTGTCACCTGTGCTCTGTGGGCTTCCACTAAAACCGAACATCTCGCCTCTGAGAAGCTACAGAACAGCATTCCTTTAAGTATGATTTTCAGTTCCTGCCTATTTGGGGCAGAGAGAAACTCCTGACTGGAAGATAAAGTTCTCACTATATACTCTGTAGGTATCCAGCATGCATATTTACAATTAGATTTCCAGGGGACTGTGAGCCAGTTGGTGTTGTGTGAACATACTGAGCCCTATTCCCTAATGCACAGTAATAAGACTTCATTTTCATTTACACCCGCCCGTCCTGTTGTAGACATCTATTTCAAACATTTCAAATCATGGCCCTCAGAGCCCATCTCAGTGTTGAAGCGTGAATTGACAGCGCCTACAAAAAAAAAAATTTAAGACAACCTGCACAGTGAAATGAAAATACAGGTGCAAACACAGCCACGCTGTTACGTACAAGAGCATGTCAGGATGGTAAATTAATCTTCTCTTCTTGACTGGAGCACATAGTAAGGGTCTGTTGGGAAACAAATTACTTGTCTAAGCATATTTTTGAATATTGCGTATAATCATAGCGTGTCGTTTTGCATTTACGTTGACTTAATGGTCAGTGCTATGACCATGACCTTGTGCCTTTGAACGGAAAAGATCTTTCCTGTGTACGGTGGGAGGGAAGGAGACCAGATTTTTATATGAGAGAGAGGAAAGAACAAGGGGTTCTGGGCAATGTGAAAATACTCTGTTGAGCATGAGGTTGTACAAGCTGCACAGACTCCATTAAGGAAAGGCCGCGGATAGGCATGAGAATGGTTACGGAGCCTCTGCATTATCTCAGCTCTACTAAAATGAAAATATACAGTACAAACAAAAGATCTACAGCTTTGTGAAGAGATTGGGAGAGGGGGGAGCAACTGAATGTTGGGCTTTGCAAATGCATGCAACAGAAAATCTTTTCTTCCCTCTAGCCATTGTTCTATTGTCTTTCAAAGGCCATTAAAATGAACAGCAGGTTCTGATGAAAATTTCATTAAGCCCTAGTTAAATCATTATGAGGGTGCCATATTCATGTCTCTGCTCACTCCCCATCCAGGAAAAAAATGAATAGGAAAGGATTGGGTTTTTTTCCCTTTCTCCTTAAAAGCGAACTAACAAAAGTTCAGAAGTTAGAAGAGAATGGGAAATGGGACATGAAACAAAAGGAGGCCAGAGAGGTGAGCTGGCTAGGAAGAAAATTAGGCTTGTGTGAGAGCACTGAAAGGTAGCGGGGGACAAATACAGCATTTTAACAAGTATCTCTCCCCCTTCCCTTCAGCCAACACGATTGTTTTTAGAATGGCTAATTAAACAATATATATTTCTGGGTGTAGATGGCAAGACTGTTCTTAGCGATCCTCCACAAATATGAATATCTTTCCTTAAAAGAAGTATGTTCTACTGCATGCACAATGTCTTCTCTGTTTGATTCCAGCAGAAAATCTACTTATTGACATGTCTTCTTCATGTAGTGCTGAAGTCAAGTTGTCAGTCATCACTGATTACTGGTCAAGTAATTAGCATATTAATAATAGAACAATAGAATACTAGGTTGGAAGGGACCTTAAGAGTCATCTGGTCCAACCTTTCTTGGCAAAAGCACGGTGTAGATAAGATGGCCCAGCGCCCCGTCCAGCTGAATTTGAAAAGTGTCCAATGTTGAGGAATCCACCACTTCCCTGGGGAGATTATTCCAATGGCTGATTGTTCTCATTGTGAAAAATTCTCCCCTTGTGTCCAGTCAGAATCTCCCCAGGAGTAACTTGTACCCGTTAGCCCTTGTCTTTTCCATGTGGCTTCTTGTAAAAAGGGAGTGTCCATCTTCTTTGCAGCCACCCTTTAAATACTGGAATGTGGTGATAAGGTCTCCTCTAAGCCTCCTTTTCTCAAGGCTGAACAAACCCAGTGCTTCCCAGTCCTTTGATCATCTTTGTGGCCCTTCTCTGTACCCTCTCCAGCCTGTCCACATCTTTGTATAGCAGTGACCAAAACTGACCACAGAATTCCAGGTGTGGCGTGACAGCAGCGCTGAGTGGGAGAATGACTTCTTTATCTCTGCTGGTGATGCCCTTGTTGATGCAACCCAGCATTTTGGTGGCTTGCTTTGCAGCAGCAGCAGCACACTGCTCACCCATACCGAGATTGTTGTCCACCAGGACCCCCAGGTCCCTTTCCACAGAGCTGCTCCCCAGCCAGGTAGAACCCAGCCTGTGCTGCGCTCCTGGATTTCCCCAGGTGCAAGACCTTACACTTGTCCTTGTTGAACTTCATCAGGTTCTTGGTAGCCCACTCTTCCAGCCTGTCCAGGTCAAATGACTTTCCCCATGAATAAGATCAGTTACAAGTAGGAATATCTGGTAGTACCTCTAGGTAACAGTTCAACAATGCATGATCACTGTGTATTCCAGTAATAATTTTTAGTCTTGCTGGTTTGTGGAGCTTTGTAGGAGAAGACCAAGAATCTTGGTTAAGCTTTGCTGCATTATGTCAACAACAATAACGTAATACTTTATTTCCCTTTGTGAAGAAAGGGAAACATGTACCAGTCACTGAGTTTTAATTAAATCAATTTCCTGTGAATCTTTCGAAGGCCAGATATGAGCCAGATTCCCATTTCTCTATGTACTCAAAAGTTTATATATTATTTAACTTGTACAATGGGCTGTGTTTGCTCTGTTTTTATTGTTTGAAATTGTCTTCTGAATTACTGTGGGAAATGTGCTTTTGAAGCATTCTTTCAAATGGTGTGTTTTTTTCAAAAACAGAGAAAAAGGGAAGGGCTGGGTTGACAACTTTAGGTCTGGATCCAAACCCTCATATCAATCAGGGAAAAAGGCCTTCTCTTTTCTTAAAGGGGTTTGGAGGACAATTCCAAAATATTAATTACAGCTCAGATTGTTTCTAAGAAACTTTAGTGATACAAGGTAAACAGTTTTCTTAAATTATGGTCGTTAGGAAGTGAGAGTTACTAATTGGTAAATTTTGTCCGCAAAGGACAATGATTTTTAGTGTGACACAACAGACTGCTCAGAGTGCACAAACACACGCATGTACGTATATATGTAAGCACACACGTGTGCCCACACCTGTGCTGCCAAGGGAAGAATCACTGCTCATTTGAATGGTTTCCATGTTGCTTTGTTGTGTGTGTGCCCTTGTTAATGTTCCCTGGAGGAAGCCGTGCTCCCTACTCGTCGCTAAGAACTTCCCAAAACCTTGTGGCTTTCTTTTCCTCCTTGCACGTGTGTGTAGGCATTTGTTTTTTTGTGTGTGTGCCGGGGTTTATACTTAGCTATAAAGCTTCATGCTCGTTTGCCCCCCGGGTCTAAACTTGCCATTTTCCTCCTGCTGTATGAAAGTATGTGATTGACAATGAGTCACGCTGACACAGAGACAGGGAGGGTTTCAGTGAATCTAAAACTTGTGGAATTTTACTCGTTGCTAATACAGTGCTCGTTTTTCTTCTCTCAAATTCTGCAGAAAATCCTTATATGCTTTAGTATTAGGCCCCCAAAGGCATAAACCTATTACTGAAGTCACACAATGTTATTTTACATGAAACATTCTGTCCTTTCTAACTTGAACTTCAGAAGAGGAGTCAGTCCCCTTTTATTCCTGGTATACAATAATGAAGATAATGGAGTGGGTTTGGAGAAGCCTTATATAGTGTGACAGACCTCAAGCCCTTGCCCCGAGGGTCGTCTGCCGACCATGGGATTCCTTTTGCAGCTAAAATCATTAGGCGAATGAGATACAGGCATGTTTTTCTTCTGTTTTCTTAAGGCATCAGAGGATGGCAGAGACTCTCTGTCTGTCTGTTCTCTTCATTTGTAGAAATGAAATGGAAATCTCTTTGAAGTCACTGAGCTTGACACAAGTTCATGAAAGCAAAGACCAAAGCAGCCACTTAGCTTTTTCTTGCACTATTAATGGGATTGGATTGCTGTATTTTAATTTATGGCCTGTGCTTGTGGAAAATTAAATCTCTGAAATCTGTGTAGCCTTTCCTCTAAATGTATGGCTTGGCTTATGGGAAAAAAAAAAAAAAAAAAAAACAAACAAGTAAATTTTCTCCTATTTTTAGAATAAGCCAGAGTACTCATCGGCTCTTTACGGCTCTTTAATTAAGAATTGATTTTCTTTTTCCATATTGGTAGTATATGTTTGTAACAGGTTATGTTTCTGTCTGTTGATCTTTAAAACTTACATACTGTATCTTCAGAGGCCCGATCTATGCTATTGTACAGAACTTGTAGGAATTCCGGATAAGACGGATCATGTGAGCATCTACCTGACCACAAAGACTGTGCACACGAGCGTGTGCACGTGTAG